CGTGGCAACAGTTGTGAGGTTGGCCCAGGATCGGGTAGTGTTTTGTTCTGTTGTGCATAAGGTCGCTATGAGTCAGTACCGACTCAATGACACCTAACAACAACAACAAGAAGCTTAAAAAAAAAATTAAAAGATTCATTACAGTTTGACTTAGTTACCTAGCTCTGTAGTAACAAATATCTCAAGTAGGTTTTAACAAATGGGTGTTTATTTTTCTGACTGAAAGTACAAATTCCGGACACCAGCACTAGGTATAGCCTTTCTCTCTGTCTCAGCCTTGGGAGAGGTCCTTGTCTCTTTTCAGCTTCTGTTTCTCAGTTCCTTGGTGTGGCATCTGTCTCTCCCCATCCGTGCTTACTTCTCTGTGCCTCATCTGTTCTTCTGTATCTCAAAGATGATTGACTTAAAAACTGATGTGGCATCTTAACAAAGAAAACCTGTTCCCGGGTGGCTTCCTAACCACAGGTAGAAGCACTAACCACACATAACACAGTCCAAACCGTACAGACCTGTGAGCTAAACATTGTCCCAGTGTCTTCAGTTAAGAGTCTACTGAGTGTTCAGACGAGGGTATTAGGTAAAGTTGAAAGTTTTTGCTTGATTGGTTGTATTTCTGTGTGTTTTTGTTGTTTTTATAAGTCACCTCCTCTGCATTTACTCCAGATAAAGCAATAAGATCACAGCAAAAGCATGTTTTATGCATGGGACCGTGTTTAAGCAGTGACACTGTGGTAGTAATAGAACAGGTTCCATTACTAAGGGCCTGCTGGGTCAGCATTGTGCTTATGCTCATTAACTCACTTAATCCTTACAGTGGCCCTCTGAAAGAAAGAGCAGAAATCTTCAGGACGAGAGAATGTGAAGCATAGAATAGGTTTGTTTAAGCGAAACTTGGGACTGATCTTTAAAGAAAATGTTGAAATTAGATTGGCAGAAAAGAAGGATGCTATTAAAAAACTATATATGGTTCCTAATATCTGTTGTTGTTGATAAGTACCGTGGAGTTGGTTCCGACTCATAGCGACCCTGCACAGGGTTTCCGAGGCTGTAAATCTTTACAGGAGCAGAACGCCTCATCTTTCTCCCGCAGAACTGCTGGTAGTTTCGAACTGCCGACCTTGAGGTTAGCAGCCCGATTCGTAACCACTACGCTACCCGAGTAGTATACTGTTATTGTGTGGATGTGAAATTAGAAATTTATTCCAGAATCTAACCTAAATCATTCCAGTTAGTATTCACATCCATGTCTTGCCTCAGTACCTGGGAGGAACATATATGGTATTCCACACAGCCATCTCAAATTCTGAAAAATCACAAGCTGCCCCAAGGAGATAACACATGGAGGGTTTTAAACCTTCCAAGAATAGCAACAGAATTTGACCCATGTCAAGACAACTCTTCGTCCTGAGTCAGAAATTGTAATCTGGTAGTAAGGTGGTTGTGGAGATGAAGTATTGCAAAAACCTTGAGCTACCATGACTCAGTGGTAACTTAATTTGGTTTTAGTAATAGAATCCTTGTTGTTATTGTTGTTATTAAAGGCTGTCAGGTCAGTTCCAACTTATAGTGAGCATGTCTCGGGTTCGAGCAACTGGTGAGTCTGAACTACTGATCTTGTGGTTCATCCGACTTTACGGTCCACTGCATTATCCTGCAGCACCACACCAGTGGAATCATTAATATTTTCTTTTAAATATTATTTTAAAGTACCTGAGCTCTAATTTGATTAATGATAAAATGAGAACAGTTTATGCCAAGAAGAATGATGACAAGTAGTATTTATCACCTCGTTTCCAGGTTGTTGTTGTTACGTTGCTACTGTCTCATAGTGACCTTATGCACAACAGAACAACACACTGCCCGGTCCTAGGCCAACCTCACAATT